AGCCCGATGCGGGACTCGATCCAGGGACTCCAGGATCATGACCTGAGCCGAAGGCAGTCGCTTAACCAACTGAGCCACCCAGGCGCCCCTAGATTTCCTAGTATTTTTAACCAATTCCTTTTCTGAAACATCAAATTCTAGTTTGAAATTTCAAATTTCCAGTACAATTAGAATGAAGAAAAATATTAATAAAATTTGTCTTTAATAACCCTCTTGCCATTTTATGGTCTCACTGGAAAACAGTAGTACCGTTGAATTTTGGTTTTTAAAAGTTCAGGTATTCGTATGATTAACTTAAAAATTCTGGACTTTTCCTTGGCTCTTCTATTTTGGTTTGTAAAGTGTTATGTACTTTTATCCCCTAGATTTTTATTTATAATAGGAATTGTTCTCTAATCAAATATTTGGATAATTAATGTAAACTTTTGACAGAAGTGTCTGACTCCGGATACATATATTTCATATAGTCATTCATTAGTTTACCAAAATATTTAAGTTACATTTGTGTGTTTATTGCAAACTATTGTAGGTATATTTAGACTAAAGGCATTTACAGATACCTAGTATATAGACATACTGATTTATTTGGCTATAGACTTGGGTTTTTCCCCTTTGTTTTTAGCTTCATTTTTATCTGTGGCTGCAGACTTCACTGTAAATGAGATGCATATACTTAAAATAGCTCACATCTCATACCACTGATAGGGGAAATAAACCAGTACTCTACTGACAGCAGGTTAATGTGTCACCTGTGTTCTCAGTTTAAAAATGGGTATAAAGTGTTTGTTGACACATTAAAAAAAAAAGCTGTAGTTTGCCTGAAGATTTTTATTTCTAGTAGAACTTCTGCTCTAAAAATTACTTTCTAAAGACTGATTTTCTAAAGTCTCCTTTGTAAAATCAAGCCATGATTTTACCCATTAAAAACTGATGACTTAAGAGTCTCTTTTTCTTTATTATTTTATTGACGGTTTAACCAGAACTAGACGTGCAAATGGTTGCCTATGAAGTGACTGATAATATTACATATCTTGGATATTATAATGGTATTATCGCATACAATTTAACCTCATTTCATATTTAAAAGTATGGAGAGAAAGGTGGAGAGAGTGTGAACACAGCATGTGTTTCTTTTTCCTTTTCATGACTGAAGTGTGTTCTCAGATACTCCCTCCTTAGAACTGTCATAGTTCTGCAGACAAAAGCTTTTTATTCTTCTTAGAGATAGTCATCATAGTTTTTTATCACATGTAAGAGTAAGTCTGTTACTCACCCTTTGAGGTTGTTGGGGAAAGACTTAACGTGAACATAATTTTTATTTCAGAAATTCCATTACAGAAACCTTCTTCTTGGTGAACATGATGTCCCTTTAACGTGTATTGAGCAAATTGTCACAGGTATGTAGTATTCTTTACTCAGTCCATAAAAAGCTGATTCTCCTCAGGAAGTATTGCTTGAAGAATCACACCTCTCAAATATTTAGGTTGGAATTTTATTTCTGTAGGTTTATGTCCCCCCCACTTTTTTTTTTGAGTCCCAAGAATATTAAAGTCAATAAATTATTTTTTAAAACATTTATTTATTTTAGAGAGGGAGAGCAAGCGTGAACAGGGGGAAGGGAGGAGGGAGAGGGAGAGGGAGAATCTTAAACAGACTCCCGGTTGAGTGCCGAGCCCGACGCGGGGGAGCTCAATCCCATGACCCTGAGATCATGACCTGAGCTGAAATCAAGAGTCAGACACCAACCGACTGAGCCGCTCAGGTGCCCCGAAGTCAATAAGTTATTTTTAAATGGAAATATAGCATATTTAGCTTTTTATGTTTTCTAAGTATTTGTCTTCTTTTTAATTAAAAAAGACATTAAATGTGTCTAGATGGTGGTGATTTTGGGCAAGGATCACTTAAAATATAGTCAAAAGCAAAGTTAAAACCGATCCCCTTTCCAAGTTCTGTAAATTGTAGAAAATATGAAAGATTCCAGAGAAGCAGTGGGTAACCTTCTAATTATTTACAGTAATAATTTGTTAAGGTATACTAAAGAGTAAGTAACAAAAAGAATTTTTACACATATTTTCTTTATTTTTTCATTTTTAGTAAATGACCACAAGAGGAAGCAGAAAGTCCTAGGTCCCAACCAGAAACTGAAATTTAATCCAACAGAGTTAATTATTTACTGTAAAGATTTCAGAATTGTCAGATTTCGCTTTGATGAATCAGGTCCTGAAAGTGCCAAAAAGGTAATACTATTAAGCTTTTTCAAGTTTTCGGTTTCATACTGTATTTACCAATATCAGTTCTGTATGGAAGTTCTTTTTTCTCAGTTGCTCAGATTTTTTTTTTAGGGGAAGTCATCAGATATTTCCTTAGGTAAAATAAAAGCCAAGAATGTTAATAGAACTATTTCCTTGGACTAATTTATGGTTTGGCTGCTTTAAAGTATTCTATATAGGTTTTTAGGTTTGTTTGTTTGTTTGTTTTTTAATCAGCTCCTACAATACTAGAAACTATGATGTGGAAATTAGTGTATCTTTTGCATTTAGACCATTACCAGCTTGTTTCTTTCTCGGTTAGAAATTCAGAAAATACCTCAGAACGTCATCAATGAACTAAAAATTAGACTTAAGTTATGTAAGGATTAGGTAAAGGTATAGTTACGGGAGAGGCCTAATAATTATTAGTGCTTTAAAGAAATCTTAGTGAATTAATTTGAGTGCTATTCCACAGGAACCGGTAAAAGCTAGGGACTTTTTAACTGGCTTTGTTTTTCTCCTGCCTTCCGGGGAATGTTTATTGCCTGCTGGTGGAGTAAGATTCACGGGCAGAAATTCCCACTTCCTTGATCCCACATTTTGGCTGTGGCAGAGGAGTGAAGCTGGTGGACCTATTGCCCTACTGGTCCAGTCTATGATGCAGCAAATGCAGAGAATCTAACACTTTCCAGGAGTCTGCTCCCACACATTGGAAATAAAGGAACAGTTTCTTAGTGAAGTGGAACCTTCTCTCAGAAATGAGTCTGCTTTTGCGCCACCCCAGAATGCACCGCTGCATTTGGTTTCCATGGTTAGTAGACTTACTGCAGTGAATTTTCTGTTGATATCCAAATGAGGCTGTCAAAAATATTTAAGGCAGCTGTTTTCATACACTTTGGTGAGGACATTGTAGATTTATTTTTAGAACTTAGAATCAACAGTTTCCTCACAGGAAGGCAAGCATAAGATAAATATCTGAACATGCTGGACCTTGAGGACTAGATGATCTAGCAGAGTGATAGCGGGCTCTCTGGCTAAAAGTTTTCAGGTAGAGTCTGTAAAGCCATCTTTCAGCATGCTGCGTTACCAAAAATTCAGCTAGGTAGCTGTAACTCATTGGTTCACATTTTGTAGGCCCCTTTCATCTGTTTAGTTCTGCCATTTGTGATTTTGGCATTTTACTAACTTGAGATGCCTACTCTTCTGTAGAAAGACTTTAAGACTCGTTAGGTCGTAGGCTGTATATAAAACATTTTAGCTGAGTTACTTTCTTGAGCTTAAATATATACTTGTAATTTAATCAGTCAAAACATCAAGAATCTGCTTATGAAAATCTTAATTTCAGGATATATAGCATTTCAAGAATAGCGACACCACAGAATGTAAGAGATTTAGTTAGGACAGGATTTTTTTTAAGTAAGAAATTGATACAGTTGCCCAATATTCTTTCAGAAAGTTTCCCTCTCTCCCACTCTCAACTATATTTTTCAGATGACTCTATTTCAGTAATTGGAAATCATAATTATTTGGCTTCATTCTTGAGCCTTCTAATAAACACCTGCTGGTCATTTTTAATGTGTGAGGCAGTGTGCTTAGTGGAGAAGATAGAGCATGAACAAATGAAAATTGAACAGTGGTACAAAGTAGTGACATAAAAGATGTTGCCACGTAAGTGATTAGTTGCCAGATGAATGAAACAGTTAAGTGCTCTGGAAATTCAGGATCTCCCTTGTCTGTTGTGCTGCTGGTAAGTGATGAAGGGGGCCGCGCTGAACTGTCTGCATGAAACAGCCTAGTCCAACTGTTTATGCTCTTTCCCAAGACTGGATTTCTGGCACAAATCCTTTCCCCTCTGTCTTAGAATATTAAAAGCCTATAAGCTCAGGCCTGAAAGAAATGCTTTTTTTTGTCTTTTGTACAGTCCTGTTGTGGGGAGGGGCAGGTGCAGGAAAGAAAATTAGGGGCAATAAGAATATAAACAGAGAAATTTTCCCCTGATTTACGTTTCAAACACAGAGGTTAGGGCATGTGTGCTGCCAAAGCTTACTGGCTTCATGAGTTAAAAACGAGAATTCTAGCATTTTTTTTTATTTCAAGTGAAAGTTTTCATCTAAAATTAGGTAGCAGTTGGGAAGTTACAGCTTGATTTTACCTCCCGGAAATTTTGAAAGCTAAATTTTCTCTGGAAATGCTCTGATTTTATAAGTTGTTTTAAAATGACCAGATGCACATTCAGAGTTCTCTGGTGGGTAAACCACTGATTAGCTTTGAAATACCAAAAGCATTTATATTTCTGTTTGAAATATGAAATCTCGAAATGCTAAATTGGTTGACATTTTGTTAAATATTACTCTATAACCTTCTGGTAGTCTGGTTGGCGTTGCCTAAATTGTGTTATGACAAAATTAGATGACACTGTGCTACTGCATCCGTTAGCATTCATCCTTATCCTTGGTCTGTCACAAATAAATAAGGATGTTTGGGACAGATCTGTATAAAGCAAGAAGGAATTTTATATTGCAGAATTGGATGTCTAGCCTCAAAGCAACTTGGAGCCACCCTTTCCTTTTGAAGAACCTCTTTTCGAAATGGAGGGGCAAAAAAAAATCATTTTTAATGATTTATCGCTTATAAAATATATATATGTGTGTGTACATATATATAAAGATGGTAAGTGAAACGTATGCCCTTTGTTTCTACTTTATTCTCAGATTAGTTGATTGTGAACCACTTGTCAGGCATACTTTCTAAAAGTGAAAATTCAGCCCATCTATTTAAAGAATAAGTTGGCTTTTTGTGAACTTTTTTTTTTTTTCCCCTTGAATCTGAGACTTACTCCTTGGTGACTTTCAGACCACAAAATACAGGAAACCAGTTTTGTTTGCCAGTGTGCCAGAACTTGATTAGTTTGAGCTTCTCCAGTGCTGCGCCCCCAGCTGGTCTTAGAGGAGAAACCAACTGTGGGTACTTCTGGCTTCTGTCCACAAGATTGTTCTTGGTCCAGAAATCACTTCAGAAGTAGTTTACTTTTTTTCCTCCAGTGAAATATTTACCATCATTGAATGTCTTTAATCCCAAGATAGTCTTTGTTCCCTATGACAGCCAGGGCAGAGGAACTATTTTCAGAAGCAGTTTTTAAAGAGGTAGAGTTTTTCTAAAAATTTTTAATGCTTATGGAGTACATTGCAAAATTAGGATAATTTTACATGAAAATGAGACCTTCTTTTTTAAGTCTTTCAAGCTCTTAGTGACAGAAGCTAAGAATGTGGACATAAGCTTTTTAAGGGGTTGTGTATGGAAAAGCTTGAGGGAAAGGATTCTTGGCTTTATTTCCCTTCTCAAAATGTCCTACATAAAACAGCATGAATGTAACCCAGATAGCACAAGTGGTATGTGCCTTTATCTGGGTCCCCAAAGATGCCCCTTGCTTAGATTACATAGAAAGAAGTTATACACACTTGTAATTACACTACTCAGCACCAGCTTTAGTTCAGTTTGTGCCCCCCCCCCCGCCCCCATCAGCCATTGTGCAGGTGATTGAACAGTTTCGGTTTCACAAGATTGTTACAGTCTTCTTGCAATGGAGATGCTATTAGACATACTCATTTGTTTCCTAACCTTTATAAATGTGATGTGCTATTCTAAAGGGCTTTTTAGAAATGGGCTACGTTGGGTTTGCCTAGCAGATAGGCTTTGTTTGTTTTTGCTTTGTGACCATAAACAACATACTCCATAATGATCTGTGAATTTCTTTTGTGTAAACAAGGCCTGTGGCTGCTTTCTAAATGTGTTAGACAACGTGATATGCTCGTTTCATTGGCTTAGAGCATTTTCCTTACTATGTTAGTAAATAATTTTGTCAACTAGTATTTTTAGCACAGCTGCTGTCGTGCACAAAGCACCTTCAGAAAGCTACTGAGGAAAAGCAAAAATGCAGAAGTCTTCAGGTCTTCACTCAGCTCTGCACAGAGAGGTCTTTCCTGGTCTCCTTCTCTAAATTATTAACTCACTCCCTTCTCTGCCTCACCATAACACCTCGTATCCCTCCCCTGCTGGACTTTTTTTTTTCCTTTAGCACTTACAATGATGTCACTTACTATCATTTCTTGTTTATTTTGTTTCATGTCTGTCTTCCCCCCTCATGATGCCGGGGATCTGCGCCTGTGTTGTTCATTGCTGCAGCCCCAGGGCTTTGGATGTGGTGGATGCGCAGGAAATACCTGTCGAATGAATGACAGAGGCAGCATCTCCCCTTGAGGGATTGAATTTAATGGTGGAAGTAAAACGAAGAGCCCCTATGCCCTTTTCAGCTACACTCAGAACTATGTCATGAATACTCTGAAACTCATTCAGCTACACAAGCACAGTAACGGAAGAGACCCTTTATATCAGAGCGGTGGTTGTTCAGAGAGAGCAGAAGGGTTTCTGCAGTTCATACTGTGAAATTGGCTCGGGCTAGGAGGGCCTGTGAAGAGATCGGAGTTGAACAGAGCAGGTAGTTTCCAGAGACAGCGTGGTTGACTCCGCAGTGCGGAAGGATTTCCCGGGCAGAGTGTGGCGGAGGAGGCGGCTGGGAGTAAGGCCGGCAGTACGTGCAAATGTGTTGTTCTCTGACAGAAGACCACTGAGGGAAGGGATGTCTGGTAGAGGAGAGCCAGCTTGGTGAAGAATCAAGAATGAGAAGATTTCTTTTATTAGGCAGGTATCTGGGAACCACAGCAGGTTATCTGGGGAGCAAACTTGTTGGTCAGAATTTCATTTTTAGAAGATACTTCTTAGGCATTGTGGATTTTTTTTTTTTTTCCTTCCCAAAATGTAGGGAAGCTCACAGAGATGCCGAAAGGTGAGTATGGCTTAAGAATATGGCTGTGGTAGTGCAGAGAAATGGAACAAAAATGAATGATAATCTTGAGGAGAGTACAACGAAGCTTATAAACTACGTATGGTGCCGAGAGGAATAAGAAGTGGTCGAGGACTTCTTCAAGTACAGATTTCAGTACTTTGGCCGCTAGAAGAAGCTCTCTAGGGAAGACTTGGACAGATTAAGGATGGGAATGCAGATCACTGCCTCCTAATTGCATAAATGGGACTGTTCTGGAAAGCTTTCCTTGTAGTCAGTTAAATTGAGGTATTACATAAAAGTTTCAGGAATCTTTTGTTACTGTTTTTAGTCAAAACTAAAACTAGTGATAAACTCTGTCCTCTTATTTGTATATATATTCTAATTTAGTAAGACAGGAAACATTTATTCTATAGAAGACTTTTAATAATATATTTTAAACAAGAACTTGACACATAGTTACCTGTTACTAGAATTTGCACCAACCCTCTCAAACACCACTAATCGACATGGACTAACAATGAACTAAACTTTTCCTGCTTGCTCACTGTCAAAAGTATATTGTTCTGGCTTAATGCTTTTCCTTCTAAATGATATTTAACCTTTTTAAGTAAGATCCTCTCTTCTCTCCTTTCATATGTCTTAAATTTCTTCTTTCTGCTCCAATCATTTAAGAGTATTTTCTTCTGCAGTCTAGTCCAGGGCCTTGTCAACATAGGGCACTGTCCATCCTTCCTTCTCTCCAACGGCAGTTGGGAATAATATCAACCGTATTTCCATGTATGGAGCTTCTGCAGAGGCCAGGCACGCATTAAGACAATTAATCCTTACCATAGCCATAGGTATTATCTTCATTTTACAGTTGCATAAACCAAGGCTCAGAGAGATGAACTGATTTCATACCATTTACAGGGCAAGTGTTTGGTAGACCATGGGATTCAATTCCTGATCTATTCGATTGAGCACTTTCTCCACCCTAGATGTAGTCTCAAACCATTTTCTTAAACACAGTTGGTTTTTTTTTTGTGTTTTTTTTTTTAATTTACCTCTTTGAGCCACCCTGTACTTTTGGGTTTCTTGCTAATTTTCATTTTTTGTGATTGTAGCTTTCCTATTAAGTCTAGATTTTTTTTAATCCATGAGGTATGAACATTAAAATTTCATACCTTACATTAAGCCTTCAAGATTGCTGGTATTAAATCATTATAGTCCACCAAAAATGAAACTTTTTTTTAATCCTTTCTTTAGGAATACATATGTATATATATATATACACACGTCACTGCCTTTTTGGAGAATGCTTCTTTAGGTTTCAAGTTTCTTTTTTTGAATAAAATTACTTTCCTGTTGAAATTCAACTCAGCAGACACTTACTAAATACCATGTACTCCCTAAAGATTATAAACAGTGTCCTGGGGGCACAACAATGAATGAGATACCTGGCCTTAAGGAGCTCTTTCACATTCTAGGTTTAACAGAAAAAAACATGTAAATAAGTATCTATAATCACTGGCCCACCCAGGATGATGCTCCCAGTAATCAAGGCCTTATTGTACATTTCATTTAAATAAGTGTGTTAAAATCAAATTCTAAATGTAGAATTTTTCCTAGGTATGCCTTGCAATAGCTCATTATTCCCAGCCAACAGACCTCCAGCTACTCTTTGCATTTGAATATGTTGGGAAAAAATACCACAATTCAGGTAAATATGAAAATATTAAATATTGTGACTAACTTTACATTGTTTAAATTTTATTCTTATGTTTATCAGAGGCTTCCAAGTACATGAGCTTTAATGATTGTAGAATTATTAGCTTCATAACTGCTAGAGAAGAAAGCACTATATACTAAAAGAGACAATATTTGTTAGATTATTTCTTAGAAAGGGACCAGGAAGAACCTGTAAGCAGCTATAAACATAGGCTTATAAGAATCATGTGAGGTCTAGGGGCGCCTGGGTGGCTCAGTCGTTAAGCGTCTGCCTTCAGCTCAGGTCATGATCCCAGGGTCCTGGGATTGAGCCCCGTATCAGACTCCCTGCTCTTCGGGAAGCCCGCTTCTCCCTCCCACTCCCCCTGCTTGTGTTCCCTCTCTCGCTCTGTCTCTCTCTGTCAAATAAATAAACAAAATCTTAAAAAAAAAAAAAGAATCCTGTCAGATCTTTTACCTATGGTCCCTGGCTTATATTTTATGGTGAAGAAAGATCCCCCTCCTCCCACTTTTAATTGATAGCTTGAGTTGAAATAATCTCATCTTTTAAAGAAAACTGACAGAAAATTAAAAGGTATTTGAAATGCATGATGTTTTCTGACAGTGTGATTTCATGCAAAAGCTAAAGTGGTTAAACTTTTTAGTGGAGAGATCATCGAGATCATCAAAATACTGACTTTATATTTCTTAATAAGATTGATGAAAGGAAGAGGAGTGTTTGTCCAAAGGACAAGTATATTCTAGGCAGTTTTTGTAAAAGTAAAGTAGTACTGTTCATATGCTTACTGAATATGTAATTACTCAGTGATGACATCACCAAGGAAGATTCCAGATGATCATGTAATTCTGTACATTTCTTATATGCAAATGTAATTTTAATCAGCCATTTTTAAAAAACCTCATAAAAGGATAGAGGAGAAAAACAAAGGGGTCATGTCTCTTATTAGCCACTTGTGGATTAGGGACCACACATCGACTCAACCTACTAAGGCACGTGTTCTCCCACTATTATGGAAGAAAAATAATTATGTATTTACAAGGAAAGATCAGTTCACTCCAACATGGTCTGAACAGGGATCTTACAAATTACTAATTGTACTGGTCTTTCGTTTTATTATCTCAAAACATACTGTAGTAATTTAATCTATGAAATAAAAGCATATTTGAGTATCACTGTATTGTAAATACATTAAGATGTAGGAATAATACAGAGTATCTGCAGGTGCATATGGTATAAGTGTATTTTCACTACTTTAAAAGATACTTGTAAACACCATAGAGATGGTATGTGAAAGTCATGCTTTGCAGAAGGAGTAGCTTTTACCATACGGTGCTCTATTTGTAGAAATTGGAAGACAAAGTATTTGTAACTTAATTTTTCTTAGCAAAATGTAACCAATTGTAACTTAGGCTTGAGCAAAATAATTAATTTTTGAAGTTTATTTCTTAATATAAATTATAAAATTTACTTATTGTCTAAACATAAAAGTATTGTAGATCCTGCACTACTCATTAGGTGAATATTTCTTTGGATCATCATCAAGCTACAGACCATGATCATCAAGGTTATTTCCAATAAGATCCTCACCCACACTTGCAAGAGAGTAGCTGAAATGAAAGTTTCAAGAGGTCCAAGAGTTCTAAGAGTCTTTGATTCCCACTTAAATTTATTATACAGATCAATTCTTGATGCTATTTTTTTTTTCTAATAGAAATGATTCCGTCCAGGATATAGATCTATGATTTCCGCAGTAATGTAATGACCTGAGCTCAGCAAAGGCAGTAAACTTCATCATGCGTTTGGGAACCTGATGCCTCCTCTAGTTATTTTTCAGTTTTCTTCATCCATTCCTTATGGGCATCTCTGGGTTAATAATACTGCGAATAGTTATTCCACCCATAGCTCTTCTACTACTGGGTTTTCTTATTTACATCAGTCAGTTCTGTATGTCTTCTTATATGTAGCTTGTTGATAAAATTTGATAATTAATACTTAAAATATTCAGGAACACTTTTTTTATTACATCCTTCAGTCACCTCCTGCTTTGATAGGTACTTCATAAACCTAACACTGGGCCAGAGTTTTGTTAAGATTCCTCCTAGGGTAACACCCTTTAATATCCTTCCGTGCTGTTGCAGAAGCATAAACTGCATCCTTAAGATCAAAAGAAGCCTGAACTGTCCACACACTGCAGTCAGAATTCATTAATTTGTGAGTGAAAGATGCCCAATAATCCACTCTTGAACTTCTGGATGCCACCTTGATTCATTGGCTGGATTAAAGAATAAAGAAGTCCTTTTTGCAGGCAGGTAGGTGACAAAGCTGTTTCCACGAATAAGATCTGAAGTTAGAGGATGTCCCCTGCAGTTATCTAACGAAAGAATCTTTGAGATGGCCTTAGGCACTCTGAGGGTTTCTTCCATGTTCGGCATCCCTTGAGTGAGAACACCATCTCTGCAGAGCTCACCAGTCATCCAAGTACTTCTGTGAGGATCCTGAAGTAAAGGGACGGTGCATAGCACTGGGACCCCAGGCGTGGAGCCCCTCAGGGGGTGCTGGCACAGACAAACACAGTGGTTCTGGTTTTTTTCTTTTATAACTTGAAAGAAACCACAAGAACTCTGCTTTCCTCAGTCAGGTTATTATTGGGCAAATAATGTCACAAAAGTACAGACTGATCTTTGTGATAAAATTGATAAGATGTCAGATTATGCTTTCAGTCTGAAAAAGTTGGGACGCCTGGGGGGCTCAGTCAGTTAAGTGTCTACTCTTGATTTTCGGCTCAGGTCATGATCTCAGCATGGTGAGATCGCGAGCCCCACATCAGACTCTGCCCTGGGCGTGGAGCCTGCGTAAGATTCTCTCTCTCCCTCTTCCACTGCCCCTCCCCCTCTCTAAAAAGAAATAAAAGACAACCTCATGAAGTTATCTGCAGCCTCAGTGTTAGCAGCTCTACTCCATGGCAGACACTGAGCTTGCAAATGCTGTGATGTAATCTCAAGTTGTGTAGTCTCATGACAGAAGATGTACATTTTCAGTGGTTTATTTTATTTTGTAATTTTATCTTTTTTATTAACAAAGGCCTTGGTATTAGATTTTCCATTAAATGCTTATTTGAAAACCACTTACGGAGTATATAGTCCATTTGAAACTGTAGAAATTTTTGAAGTTTGTTGCCTGTCAGTTCTTTGAAGATTCTCAAGTGTAGCTATACATGGTTGTGATTGATCCTTTGGTCTCTTGAATACTGGTGGTTCCCATCCAGCCTCCTGTATCAGAATCCCTGGAGGAACTTTTAGAAATGCAGCCATCCCAGCTCTTCCCCAGGCCCAAAGTCCAAGTCTCCCAGTTAGAACCACTAAGTTGACTCACCCTGTTGAACTGAACATCACAGCTTTGTTTTTACCCTTGTCATCCTTTATGACTTGATTTCTGCAGTATCATCAAAGTGATAGGCTTTCTTCTCGTTTGTTGACCACTTTTATTGTCTTTGCTGTTGTTTGAGGCCATTCTAAATATAGATGGGGCTAGTTAAGTGGATAATTTCAGCACAGCATGGGATTAGACTTCTGAACTGTGTCGCAGAAGATAGCCCCGGTGGGGCGCCTGGGTGACTCAGTCGGTTGAGCGCATTCAAATACTCTTGATTTTAGTTTAGGTCATGATCTCAGGGTCCAGGGATCAAGCTCTGTGTTGGGCTCCGAGCTCAGTAGGAAGTCTGTTTGAGGATTCTTTCTCCCTCTCCCTCTGCACTCCCCCCCCCCGCCCCCGGCTTGTGTGCACGTGCTCTCTCTCTCTCTCTCACTTTTGCTCTCTGTCAGACAAATAAATAAATCTTAAAAAAAAAAGAAGAAGAAGAAGAAGATAGCCAAGGTCAGGAGTGCTTACGATCTAGTTTTCACGTTTAGTTGGCTGAGGAGCTGTCCTAAAACCTCAGGTAACTCTCAGGAAAGCTGGATCTTCCTAAGATGACTGATTTTGCCAGTGTGTTGCTGCACCTGTTAGTAAGTAACCCACTTGTAGAGCAGGCCACAGGCATCAGGCCTTTGGGACTTTCTGGAAAGCATTAGAATTTCCAGACTCTCTAATGTCAGATTAAGTATCTGCTATACATTCTCTAATAAGCTCTCACTGAAGACGATGTAGAATATATAACCTAGTCCTGGTTGTTGAGAAACGGACAACCAAAACCTGTAAAATAGTAAAATAGTGCAATATCCTGTAGTTTTTCCTCACCTGATGTTCAGAAAATTTGTCTTTTTGTGGTTAGATCTTGAGATTAAATCTTGGCTAGAGAAACAGTCTCATAAACTGTACGTCCTCAGCCTGGCTTACTAAAGTCTGTAACTTCAACACACTCAAAAGTATTCAGTTCTAGACTCCTAGTTGAGGGTATCCTGCCAAACTATTTACACAGCTCTTTAATAATGATGAATGTGCTCTTTATACTTCTTTTTTGGTGGTGGTTGTCTCATTGCGTGGCAAGGACCTCTGGTACAATGTTGAATAGTAATCAGGATAGCAGGCATCATTTCTGTTCCGGATTTTGATGAGGATGATGTTTACTGTGTGTTTCTGGTAATTACCCTTTATCAAGTAAGGAATTTCCCTTTTATTCCCAATTTACTGAAGTTTTTTTAAATTATGAGTAGGTGTTGAACTCGATCAAATATTTCTCTGCACTTTGAACTGATCATATGGGGTGTTTTTTTCCCCTTTAATTTGATCATATGATGAATTACTTATATTTTCTAATGTTGAATAGCTTTCTGTGGTTTTTGGTGTTCTGGAACACTGTGTAAAGTGACAGTTGCCTGGACATTCCAGGAAGGTTCTTCATCCTGGAGAGATTACAGCTCTCAAGTTCCTCAGCATACTTTCCAGTTGTAGCTACTCTGGAGAAGGCTTTAAGATGGAGTGGCACTCCAGGATATGTGCTTGGCTTTAGCCTTTTAATATTAAACAAGCTCTGCTGAAATCAGAATCACTGGGTAATTCTGATGCCACTTAAAGTATAAAATTCAGAATTCCTAGCATGGTGCGTAAGACCCTTTCTAATCTAGAGTAGCACTGTCCAGGGAGGGAAATGTTCTCTCCTCTGCACTGTCTGGTATAGGACCCACTAGCCACATGCGGCTGTTGAGCACTGGAAATGTGGCTGGTACAACTGAGGACCTGCATTTTTTATTTTGTTTCAATTTAAATCCCACATGTGGCTAGTGGCTACTGTTTGGGCAGCAGAGGCCAAGGGTCTTGGCCCCACCTCATTTTCCAGCCTCTCTTCCACCATCCCTTGCATCCCTCATGCTCTAGCTGTATTTCATTACTTGATGTTATACAGTTATACCGTGTTTTTTGTGTTCTGCTCTGCCCAGCATGCCTACCTCCTCCTCATCTCACCAGCCACCTGGCAACATTTGGCTCATTCCTTATGTCTCTGTTCAGGTGTGGTCAGATCCTGGGGCCTCTCCTGCCCCAGCCTCCATCTCCAGTGAGCGCTCTCATTGCGCTTGTACATCCAGCTCACTGTGACCGGGGCTGAGCTTACCCTCCACTGTCTTGTTGGTGCTTTCAAGATACAGATAAAACCTTACTCATTTTTTAATTTTCAGGCCTTAGCACATGGGAGGCTCTCCAAAAATACCGGTCTTGCACCAGGTGTTAATAAATGGTCCACAGAAGTGGGCATGGCATGTTCGTGGGACAAGGAAGGGGTTTCCGTGGCTATGGGGGAGCATGGGGTTTAGGCAGTAATGAAAGGTCAGGTTGATTAAGAGCTTTTTAAGCAAAATTGTTTTGCTTCAGGAAGTTGGAAAATGAGCATGAAGGAAAGTTTGGGACAAGGGTATAGCATCATGAAAGCATGATTTTGGGGCATTGTGTCCTGTGCAGGCTGCGGGCTGGTTTGAGTGCTGCAGAACGTCGTGTCGCAGAGGTCAGGCCGGAGACTTGCCACCACCGTTGCGGCCTGTAGCCGTGAGACGCAGGACCAGGAAAGATTGTGCCGTCTGTCGCCCCAGTTTGCCAGGGTACATCAGGCTGACTGCTGAGACGCTCTCTTTCCCTCTGGTCACTCTGCTGGCCTTCCTGAGGCTGTGGGCATCTCCCAGAGGACAGCAGTTCTCAGTGAGAGAGGGCTCCTTGCTAAGGAAGTTCAAGTGTAGGCCCTCTGCTGAAATCCCCAGGTGGGAGTGGCCCTCTGGTGGAGTACAAGGAACCCTTGTGAGCTTATCAAAGGAAAATTGAGTAGATATAGGAGACCAAGAATTTTATAATGAGCCGTAGAAAAGAGTGGGGCATCAATATTAGAAGGATGAAAGATTTGGTCGAGAACGGACATGATTGGATGCGTTCATTGCTCTAGGCAAAACATGTGGAAAAAATGAACAGTGATTTGAATTTACCCCACAGTTTAGGGCAGGGGGATGAGGGAGGCTCATGAGTGGCTTCCGTGGAATGGTAGGGATAGAAGATCATGGAAAAGGAGAAAATCTGGCCAGCAGGCATTGTTCATCATTTTGGGAAGATGGTCAGTAACAGGGAGGAGGGAAAAATGCATGTATATGGCACCGTAGCTGGAGTGGTGCAGCTTGGTCAAATGAAAGTCTTTTCAGAATCAAGGTGACCTGTGTTTGAAGGTAGGCGAGAGAGAGCCAGTAGAAGGACAGAAAAGTTAACGGTGCTGAAGGAGTCAGGAAAGAGCTGGGTGAGGGCGAGACAAAATGAGTTCTGACAAGAGGAGGCTGCCTCTTTCTCAGGACCGTTGGGAGCAGTCGGAACATCTGAGGGAGACTGGAAAGACGCACAGGGAGGAGCCGTCCCATCCGAGTGTGTTCCTGACAGGAGGCGCTGAGAGAGGAGAGGGCATGTGGGACGAAATGTGACCTTGAAACAAAACTAATAATACTGCTTTTTCTCGTAGCCAATAAAATTAATGGAATACCCTCAGGAGGTGGCCGGGGGGCTGGTGGTGGCAGCATCCAAAACACTCCGCTCTTCGAAACGTACTCAGACTGGGACCGAGAAATGAAGCGGACAGGTGCTTCCGGATGGAGAGTTTGTTCTATTAACGAGGGTTACATGATATCCACTTGGTAAGTCCAGTTTTAACAACCTTATTTATAGCTGGGAATGACTTCTTATGAATAAGAATCAAACTCTGCTCTCTGATAACTTTATCACGTTACCGTGAATGGAATATTTGTTCTTAGTAGTGCTTTCATGAATATTTTAAAGATAAGGGAAGAAGAGAGAAAGGGAGGATGTGTTACGGCGCAGTGAGCCTGCCCACTAGGAATTGCTGTCCAGGCAGTGTCCTGGAGTCTGGGTGTCTTTTGGGGATGAGAACGGTTAGAAGAGGGAGATAAGGAACTAAAGCTCCTTGGATTTGTGGGTCTGGTTTGGTTTTGTCTTTTGTGCCGTTTGTCCTTACCCATAGAGAACAAAGGTGGACATGTTTTTCAGAAACTGAATACATCTTTGATTAAAAATCACTTCGGAGAATATTTCAGACATCTCCTTTGGATAGTTTCCTCTGCTATAATTATAAGTTTTGTGGTAACTGACCAAATGATACAGGTTTTAGACAGAGCTGTCTAGGGTCAGCCTTGTCTTCCATGGTAGATGCCATGTGGCCGCCAAGTAGGGTACACATTAAATGGGGATAAATGTGTATATATGGGATCTGCAGAGCACACTTATCTGCCTAAAGCACAGGAACGGTTTGCTTTTTCTTCTCCAGCCTTCCAGAATACTTTGTAGTGCCAAGTTCTTTAGCAGACCAAGACCTGAAGATCTTTTCCCATTCTTTTGTTGGAAGAAGGATGCCAGTAAGTGATGTCTGTTGGGTTTCATTCACGTCAATGTCCTTTTCTTCTCCCAGTCAAGTAAAGGCTCTGCTTCCCTCCTAGCTCTGGTGCTGGAGCCACTCTAATGGCAGCGCTCTTGTGCGAATGGCCCTCATAAAGGATGTGCTGCAACAGAGGAAAATTGACCAGAGGTAACCAAGACATGGCCATTGTTACTTTGGACATTTTTAGTTGTCATAAATGAGTAAACTCCTGACTGCTTGAAAATAGTTGGAAAACGGCATAGTTTTATTAGTTAGCACCATATATTCTATATAAGAATTACCATTTTGAAAAAAATGTACATATATTAAAATTAACATTTAAGTTATACTAAATATAACTTAACTCTTTGGCTTATAAGACACTGGAAGATCGGGACGCCTGGGTGGCTCAGTCGGTTAAGCGTCTGCCTTCGGCTCGGGATATGATCCCAGGGTCCTGGGATCAAGCCTCACGTCGGGCTCCCTGCTCAGTGGGGAGCCTGCTTCTCCCTCTCCCTCTACCCGTCCCCCTGCTCTGTCTCTCTTTCTCTCAAATAAATAAAACCTTAAAAAAAAAAAGACCCTGGAGGATCTTAACATTGCTGACATCTTGCTATAACAGTGTCGCCTTTAGCATACTTCCAAAGTGCAGTGATTTCCAGTTGAGATATTTCAGGATAAATCAGACTTTTCTATTAGTTCAGTGTGTCTTAGGTCTTAGAGTCACAGTAGCTTAGATGGTGGTTTTAATTAGCTACCACAAACAAGTTTGGCATCGCCTGCTGAAGTCACCAGTGATCTCCGTGTCGTTAAAGCAATAGGCATTGGGCAGTCGGCGGGCATCACTGCTGGTCTGTCTGTCCCTAAAGCGCTCTGAGTCCTAGGCGCCTGCTCCTTCCCACTCTCCTGCAGCCCCTCTTCCTCACCGGCGCTCTGTGCCCTCTGCAGCCCTGGCTCTGCAAACATGACCTAGAATCTGTCTGAGGCCACTGCTTCCCAGTCTGTATTTCCTTCCTACAGAAGCCCATCTGTGGCTGTGGCTTCAGTGACCATCAAATTTCTCTCTCTAATGGGACATCTTCCGTGGAAGTCTCAAAGGCCCTTGAAACTCATGATGTTCAAACTCAGACTCCAGCATACAGGCACCACGCCTTCTCCCAGCCATTGTTCATTCAGCACTCAGGAAATACCTGCCATATCAGATACTTGTTCAGTACTCTATAAACGAGGAGCAAAGGAACAGATCTTAGAAAACTGGCTCAGAGAGCCTCAAATTGTGTTTCACACCCTGTTATGAGTAGAGCCAGGTCTTAGGGTGTTTTCCACACTGCCATACCTAAGAAAGCCATGTTTGCTGAAGCAAATAGCCGGCAAGTGACCCGCAGACGAGCCTTCAGGTTTCTGGAAAGGACGGTGACTGGCTTCACGTCATCTCTGACGGAGTTTTTACCTCGGTCCTGTTGAAACTGACCTGTCTGTTGTGTCGGGGGCGCTGCTGGGCCAGAGTTCATTCTGGACCCTCACAGCCAGTGCACGTTTCGTCTTTTAACTTTATTAAGTGCAAATTGTTTTAATTCCTTTGTTTTTCCAGCTGTGCCACCCTTCATAAGTAAGACACGTTCTCTGCGCTGTCCAAGCTCTCTCCAGCCCTTTCTCCTTAGACACATCAGCTCAGCTCCACTGGCCTTCTCTAGGTTTCTGCACAGCCAAGCTTGGGTCCACCACAGGACTTTTGCCCTTACTGTCCCTCTGCGTTTAGAACACTTACCCACAGATCTTGCATGGCTCCTAGGCATTTGGGTTTTGGCTTCAGTGTTGTTTTCACAGAAAAGCCTTCCCAGCCACGTGACTTGAACTAGCCTGCTTCCACTCGGTGGCGCCACCATGGCATTCACGCCAGCCTGTGACTTTCTCATCTACCCTCCCACCACCACCAGGCTCGGAAGCCCCGTGAGAGCAGAGGCCCGACCGGTCTTGTTCATCTGTCTCCAGCTCTTAGAGTAGTGCCTTAGCCCATAATAGATCTTCAAAAAATATGTGTGGCATGAATGAATGACTCAAGGATTTTGTCTTTATTAGGATTTGTAATGCAATTACTAAAAGTCATCCACAGAGAAGTGATGTTTACAAATCAGATTTGGATAAGACCTTGCCCAATATCCACGAAATACAGGCGGCTTTTGTGAAACTTAAGCAACTATGCGTTAATGGTAATTTCATTTTTATTTGTGTGTGTGTGTGTGTCTGTATGTATGTATGTATGTATATAGTGAACTGGGGATACAGCATTGCATGAGATATGTCAGAAAAAGTGACATTCCTTGAAAATATAGAAATAGATATATTTAGGTAGAGGCTCATTGAAATATCTGTACAAATTATTGTATGTGACAATATCAGAAGCTCTCAGAAAATGAAGTTTAAACTGCTTTTTGTTTTGGAGGAAAGAAAGAAACCAATGAAATCACTTTCAAAGCATGAACTGTTGTGGTAGGATCCTTTTGTAAAAGTGCCAAGAGAACGACGAGCTACCTTACGGACAAACATATTAAGATTTTAATGCAGACAGTTGCGTTTTGAGATACGGGACTTGACACGGATTTCAGACAGCCGTGTTGTAATCTGTGCGGCCTTGGAGTTCTAATCATGTGTTTGAGCAGGTGCTTCTCAGGTGCTTTCAGTGTGTCCCGGGGTGGGTGTGACTCACACAAAAGCATCTTTGGCGAGAAGTGAGTCCTCCCTGAAGGGCACCCAGAACCTCCCATTACCCAGGAGCCAGGAAAGGCGGTCACTGGGGCGGGTCTGCAACAACGAGGGGGCGCTGGCCTGGAAGGAGAGCTGGCGGGGGGTTGTTAAAAAAGTACAGTGACATGAATGATTATCAGCCGTCTGATAAGTGGAATGTGAGTAGAGCCTGGAGTTCGTGAGGTGAGAGACACCTTGAGACCGGCCAGGCAGGACTGGGGAGGGCATGCAGGCCCTGCCGGGAAGGTGCCCTCATTCCTGCCGTGGTCACGGAAACCATGCGCGGGAGGCAGTGTGGGCAGCAGGGGAGGGGGAGAGAAGCAGGGAGGGCAGGGCTTGCAGGCAGGAAGCTGTGAGTGGGGGCTCCAGAATCCAGGCATGGGCTCATCAGGAAAGCGGGAACCACTGGCTCTTAGGAGGATTTCCCTGAGAGCCAGAGTGAAGGAAACCAAGGCCCAGGGGAATCCTTGTTTTGTTTTTTATAGAATCATAACATGTCTCTTCATGTTTATATTGTTAAATGAAAATGCATAATACTTTCTTAAAGCCAGTTTTTAAATATGGAAAATCTGTGACATGTATCGCTTAAAACGTGACCACATCAAATTGTTTAAAAAGCCTAAACGTGTGTATACATACGTTATATGTATGTGTGTATGTATATATAATTGGCATATTTATTGCAGAGCCTTTTGAAGAAACTGAAGAAAAATGGTTGTCTTCACTGGAGAATACTCGGTGGTTAGAATATGTAAGGTTTGTACAACTACTTTCCTTTTTTTTCCCCTTAACTTTTATTTTGAAATAATGACAGACTCCCAGGAGGTACAAAAACAGTACAGCCCTCCATGTACTCCTCACCACCTTCTCCCAATGGTAACATCTTCCATAACTAGAATATGCTATCAAAACCAAGGGGGACAGGGGTGCCTGGGTGGCTCAGTCGGTTAAGCGTCTGCCTTCGGCTCAGGTCATGATCCCAGGGTCCTGGGATCGAGTCCCGCATCAGGCTCCCTGCTCCGTGGGAAGCCTGCTTCTCCCTCTCCC